GCCTACCTGTATGGTCTTGCCCACACCCATTTCGTCTGCAATCAGGCAGCGCCCTCCTCTGCTCACAGCAAACGCCACTCCCTCCCTCTGGAATGGCCTCGACACACACACAATTATGGCCTACCTGTATGGTCTTGCCCACACCCATCTCGTCTGCAATCAGGCAACGTCCCCCTCTGCTAACTGCAAACTCCACTCCCTCCCTCTGGAACGGCCTCGACACACAGAAACCACACACCACACACGCACTTATGGTCTACCTGTATGGTCTTGCCAACGCCCATCTCGTCTGCAATCAGGCAGCGCCCTCCCCTGCTAACTGCAAACGCCACTCCCTCCCTCTGGAATGGCCTCGACACACACACAATTATGGCCTACCTGTATGGTCTTCCCCACGCCCATTTCGTCTGCAATCAGGCAACGCCCTCCCCTGCTAACTGCAAACGCCACCCCCTCCCTCTGGAACGGCAGCAGTGCTCGCCGGAGCTGACCTGGCAGCCGCCGCTCCATCTCCCGAACCAAGGCACTCCTTGCCGAACCACCTCGCTCCGAACCACCTTGCACCGACCCTGCTACCGGGCCGCTAGCTGGACAGGAGGGGTTGTGAGACGGTGAATCATGACCGTCCATTTCTCCTGCTCCTGCTGCTTCTGCATCGACTGATTTCCTTACTCCAGCTACTGCTGCTGTCTTTGCATCTATTGCTGCTGTCTTTGCAGCTACTGCTGCTGTGACTCCTGTGTCTCTGACCCCTGCTGCTGCATTCCCTGCCACCACCCTCCCAGTTTTTCCTACACTCTCCCCATCGACATCCGGTTTGGTTGCTACTGCTGCTGCTTCCACCATCCCTCTCATCCTCTCCCTCTCCTTCCTCTCCTTCAATGCACCCAGCGTACTCACAGGCACGCCCTGAATCCTCACCCCCACACTCACTCTCTCACGCTGGTCTGGTTGTTGGTTCGGACGAACAGGATGGAAGGTGTGGAAGGGAGGGATGGAGGGGAGGGAGAAGAGGAGGGAGTCGTAGAGGCGAAGCGGGAACACAGGCACCAGGCGGGTGACGCCCCTTGATGCCTCTGTTGCCACGTGCTGCCACCTGATTGGCCGAACCTGCATGCACAGCAGCGGTGGACGGTTTGGGAGGGAGAGAGGGAAGGACGGAGGGAGGAAGGGAGGGAGGGAGCGGAGGGAGAAGAGGAGGGAGTCGTAGAGGCGGAGAGGGAACACAGGCACCAGACGGGAGACGCCCCTTGATGCCTCTGTTGCCACGTGCTGCCACCTGATTGGCCGAACCTGCATGCAGCAGTGGTGGAAGGGAGGGATGGAGCGGAGGGAGAAGAGGAGGGAGTCGTAGAGGCGAAGAGGGAACACAGGCACCAGGCGGGAGACGCCTCTTGATGCCTCTGTTGCCACGTGCTGCCACCTGATTGGTCGAATCTGCATGCAGCAGGAGGGAGGGACGAAACAGAACAGCTCTGGTTGTTGGTTTATACAAGGGGTTGGGAGGGAGGGATGGAGCGGAGGGAGAAGAGGAGGGAGTCGTAGAGGCGGAGAGGGAACACAGGCACCAGACGGGAGACGGCCCTTGATGCCTCTGTTGCCACGTGCTGCCACCTGATTGGCCGAATCTGCATGCACAGCAGCGGTGGACGGTTTGGGAGGGGCAGAGGGAAGTACGGAGGGAGGAAGGGGGGGATGGAGCGGAGGAAGAAGAGGAGGGAGTCGTAGAGGCGAAGAGGGAACACTGGCACCAAGCGGGAGACGCCCCTTGATGCCTCTGTTGCCACGTGCTGCCACCTGATTGGTCGAACCTGTCATTACCTTAACGAAGCTCATGCAGAAAGAAAGGGCAGTTTGATGGTCCAGCCGCATCCCCCTGCTGCCCCTGCTCTCTGTATCCTCAGCCTGAGTGCCATTCTGGCGCCTTGCAGCTTGATGGTCCAGCCGCATCCCCCTGCTGCCCATGCTGCCCATGCTTCCCCTGCTCTCTGTGACCTCCGCCCGAGTGCCATTCTGGCGTCTTGCTGCGACTCGTCTCCGCTCTGACTCCTCACTATGAGAACACCCTAAAATATCTGCCTCTACAATCACTGGTGCATTTTGATTCCCTTTCCATGTGCCGGATTTTCTCACGTTCGTCTCGCCAACCCCTCTGCTTGCTTCTCCTCCAGCCCTTCTCATGTACTCCTTATAAGCAGCTCCGCTTGTATCCCAATCCGCAAAGAGACAAAACTCCTCTGCTGAAACGAGCTCCAGAGATACCTGCAGAGGAGCTAGCAGGCCCTGCTGCTGCTGCAGCTGCGCTTGGTGCTGCTTCTGCATGTGCTGCTCTTGTCGCCGCTGTGGGAAGTCGCATTGCTCCTGTTGCTGCTGTTGATTATGCTGCTGCTGCTGCTGCTGCTGATGATGATGACGATGATTCTTGCTCTCCGATCCCCCCTCCACCTGCTGCCTCATCCTCTCTGCTCGCCTCTGAATGGCTGCTTGCCGGTTCGCATTGATTCGTTCCTGAACATCCAATGGAAGCAGCGAGTCTTCACTCTGTTTCTGAGCTTTCCCACGAACCAGCAGGGAATCTTTACTTGGATCTTGCAAGCTGTCACAATCCAGCGTCAAATCTTCACTCTGCTTTTGAATCCTTTCACGGACCAGCAAAGAATCTTCGGCATTTTCCTGTGTTTCGGAAGGCAATCCTTCGTCGACTGATGCGCATTCAGCACCTGTCTGCACGAATGCTCTGGTCTCTGGTGCTTGCTTCGAGACATGAACCTTCGGCTCTTGTCCCTGATGCGCTGTTTCCGCTGCCCTGCTCCCTAATCCGTGCAGCTTGCCCTCCTGCTTGTGTTCCTCTTGACCCTTATCTATCTCCCTCGGCACCCCGGACATCGCATTGTCAACCTGCAAAAGCTTATCAGTGCTGACTGTGCTCTGCATAAGCTCATGGCGATTCCTGTACTCTGTGCTCTGACAATGTAGCGTCTGCTGAATGCCAATTTCACGAGGATCCGTGGCTTCGGTCCCATGTGTCTCTTTTCGAGAAGTCCCTGGAAGCAGCTGCTTTCTCTGTGTCAGAAAATTCGTCCGTTGTGCGACATCAGGCAAGGCTACCGGCGCTTCATGAGGTTCCGTTTGCTCGGTCTCATGAGTCTGAATTCGAGTAGTCTCTGGAAGCAGTTGCTTTCCCTGCGTCGGGGAATTCGTCCTTTCTGCTTCATCAGGCACGCCGACCGGCGCTTGATCGCCTGCAGGCGATTGATCGCAGCCGAACGTCGCCTGCGACTCGTCAGCGTCGTCGACCAGCCAGGCGAACACCTTGGCTGCTCGCGACGTTTTGCGACTGGCGAATCCGGGCCTGCGGCGAGTTGAGGTCGCCATCCTTCGTTTGTCCGCATCACTGCCGGAAATGTGATCTTACAACGCTACAGAGCTTGCCAATGCGTCATTGCTGGCTGCGCTTGACTTAACTAATCCTCGGTTCTGACACACAATGTCTGACGCAGTACACAAACAGACACTTCTGAAAACGGCAAGCTGTAGTACGTCCTCGGATATCCTAAAAAATGTGGACCAACTATCACATAATGGCCTGCTTCTACAATCACCCATGAAATCAAGAGAAACTGCGACGACCTAGAGAAAGGTTTCAGGGTAGCAAAAACCAGAAAATTCAGGGTTTCAGGAATCCATAGATTAACCAGTAGAAACCAGGATTCCAGAATCAGGGTTGTCAGTCAGGCAGAGGAGGAGCAAAAAGTGACACTGACGCCATCATCAGTTTCGCCATTGCGGTGGCGAGCTCATCTGCGACGTGGCCGAAGAGCGTCGAATCTGTTACCGTAACCTGTCAGAGGTGTTGGCAGGGAGGTGGCCAATCCCGAAAGATTAAAATTTGCTCTCGGTATTCGCGATAAAAGCTTTGTTGTGTCCCTCTTATGGGAAATCACTTTAGAGTAGGCATAGTAAGTGGATGCTAGTGCCACAGAGGTGGTGGTGTGATTTCCCATAGGCGATTTCCCAAAAAAAAAGGCCAGAGGAAGCACCAAGGCCGGGCAGAAACTTTCCCTTCTTATCCCACATTGTGAAGTGCTGAGGCTCAGACTAGGTCAGTACTTAGGTAAGCACTTGCAGGAAATGACTACATACCGTAGTACCTACCAAATGCAACAAATTATGCAACACAATTCATTAAGCATAACCACAAAGCAACCTGTTCAGCCATATAGACGTTCACAGGCACAGCTATATGGCCCAGCCCAGTATTCCACTACATGCTTGTATCAACCTATCTTGTATTCTGGGCTTTCAGTCCTAACCATGTCGCAGCTTCTGCTGCTGCCACTGCACCTGCCTACATCTGCTTCTCCTCCTCTCCCATACCCACCACCAACCACCCGTTCAGTTTCCAGAAACAGCTGTGCTGCTGAAGCCAGCAACCACCAACAGTATCAGCATGCACTGGCCACACACAACCCCACACAACCCCACACAGCCCCACACAGCCCCACAGCGCCACACTACACCATGCAGCACCACCACCTTGTCTGCCCTCCGTTCCGCTCCACACCATCACAAATCCCTTCAACAGAGGCTGATGCCACCTCCCACCTCCACTACCACCTCCCACCTCCACTGCCACTGGAACCAGCTGTCACCTTCAAAGCCAGCTGTCACCTTCCAAGCCAGCAGTCACCTTCCAAGCCAGCTGTCACCTTCCAAGCCAGCTGATGCCACCTCCCATCTCCACCGCCACCTCCTAAGCCAGCTGTCACCTTCCAAGAACCGTCCCCACTGCCACTGGAATCTCCTGCCATCCACAGCATAGCCTCCTGCCAGTCAACTCACCCCCACATGCCTGCTGCCGCTTCTAATCACTTCACCCTGTCATGCACGTGAATGCATGTAGATGCACGAAAGCCACGGCCCTTTGATCCCTCCCATTAACCCCTTGCATGTGGATGATGCATGTGGAAGCGCGCGAATCACAGCCGTCCGTGCAGAGGCTAGATCCCATCAATGGACGGCAGCGATTCCTCCCATTCGATCACCGCTTTCGTCCTTGACGCGCCGGCGGCCGGCGCGCGGTTTCCGCCGACCAGCGCCGTCTCCAGATTCAGCTTCCGCTCCGCGTCGAGCTCCATTTTCTCGAGCCGCGCCTTCCGGTGCGATCGCCAAAACACCCACGCGAGGCAGCCCAGAATCAGCAGCAGGAAGAATATCCCGATGGATAACCCCACAGCGAGTGCTACAGTGTCGTTGCTGGATGACGGTGTGGGGGACGGCGGAGGCAGCGGGGTAGGAACGGGGGAAGGGGAAGGCGGAGACGAGGGGCCGGGGGGAGGCGGAGTGGGGGGAGCGGGGGAAGGCGGAGGAGACAGCGGAGGGGGTTCGAGGGAAATTGCTAGGGTAAATTCCCCTAGGTCGGGAGATTTGCAGGTGTAGTTGGTGGTACCATTGACTGGAGTTGTTGACGACGGCGGCGGGGGAGACCTTTCGGTTGTTACTGTAGAATTAACCGGCAGGCCGTCAGGATCAAACGTCACGCAGAAGTAAAAATCCGGAAAGTAGACGTCCAGAGCCAGCGAGACCTCGATCGGCGTGTTTGTATCCGTTACAGTCACATTCAGTGGTTCGACAAGAGTCGCGCTGTTGATCATCGAAAACGGGTACACGCTCATGCCCAAAAACTGGGCCGCGTATCTGGTACCCTGCGGCGGTTTAAGCGGTGCCGTGAAATTAGGGTAATTCTGATACAGTATCACCACCTGAGACTCCGTCGTAGGAACATTTAACCCAGGCGGTAAGTAAAACTCCTTATAGCGAATACCATTTGCAGCGAACGACGCAGTATCGAGGACGGTTAGGTCCATGGTCGACCCGGACGCGGGTGTCGAGGGCAGGGAGATTATCGTTCCGTTTGTCGCATTGGCGACGTGCGAAAACGCAATCGCCTGCACGACTTCGTGGTACAGCTGTAACCGCTTCTTCGCGATCGCGTCCTGGTCCGCCGACTTTGTCGTTGTCGACCCAGCGGGTTGCGCGGCTTTCCGGTGCGCGGCAGCGGGCACAGCGGGTTGCGCGGAGGCGAGCTGGTGCGCTATCGGCGACGGGAGGAGAAGAAGGGAGAGAAGGGCGAAGAGACGCAGTAGACGGGGGGTATAGGTCCGCGCCATTGCTGTCGGCCAGAGGAAAAGGCGGAAAATGACACTGGCACTAAAGAAACACGACTAGTGGGCGACGACTGAGGAGCAACACCGGAGGAGACTAATGGCTGCTGCAAATACTTAGTGGAACTAGGCGTCTGCAAGTGGGACTCGTTGCCATGGCGTAAACCTAGTAGGAAAGGGCTTTGCGATAGTAGGTGCCTCTCTGCAGGAGAGGGTGTTGGGAACGCTTGTTGCTGCGTCCTGCGGTAAACTGAACTATTCTGAGAAGCGGTGGGCGGAGGTGAGGATAATCGACTCAGCGGGGTCGAGTCGAGGTGAAACCGCGATATTGTCGCTGTCAGAGGTCCAACTGAGAGTTTCTACTGGCCAATGGGTGCCTCCAGTCGCAACTAACTGGAACCTGCGTTGGTTATGGGGGGACGTGCTCCACTGGAACACTGTGGAATTGAGTGGGGAGAAGACCGGAGGAGAGGATCAGCGCAGCAGCAGCAGCATCAATCAAGAGCAACAACAGGAACAGCGACTGAAGGGAAATACACGGCTGTTCCAAAGCACACCGAATGGGGCGGAAAGGGGGTGTTGAAGCTGATGCGCTAGTTCGAACTTCGCGGGAGGGAGGGGAAGAGCGGTGCTTCCGAGGCTGGGGTTTGCGTTTGGAGGTCCTGCTTGGGAGAAATTATGTATTTTCTGCCTGCTTGTCGAGGCTCGAAAAATCAGGACTCATCTGGTTTGAAAGGGACTGATTGGTTTGGGAGCTGTCATTCTGGCTCGAGAAAGCAGCCATGAGGTTGCCGACGCGCCGCGGAAGCTGACGGTGTCCCGAGCCTCGAGGGGCAAGGTAGGCGCGAGAATGGCGCAAGGGGAAAAGCCAAACCGAGTTCTTGGGCATGAAAGCTTGGGAGCCTGTCTTGGACGACGTTCGGAAGTCGCGGGCGTCGCGTACGATTGACGTTCGGATTCCCAATAAATCAGCAAGAGGCTTTAGCGAAGTAAACGACTTTCGCCTTTCGTTCGCACGGCGTCGTAGCCACTAGAACAAAGGAGCAGGTCATCGCTGCGAATCACTTGTCAAGAATGTTCTAACACGTCCGCACCTGCCTTGTGACTCGTTTGCTTTATCCAAACCTCTCTCTTTGGTTTTGCTCGTGTCGCTCGGTAGCCTTGCTTTGGTGTGGCGAAACGGTGGCGGGAGACTTCCCATGGTGGTGGTCAGTGCTCTATTGAGTACATGCTGCAGAACTTCCAAGATTAGTTGCAGGAATATGTCACAATACGTTAGGCTATATAGTATAATTGACACTTTGAAAGCAAGAAAATTCACCTGCAACACTACAGACAGTCACAGATGCTAAAGACTAGCAAGAGCAAACTACCTTAGCCAAAGTTGAAACTACCAGCCATGGAGTTCATGCAACAATAACAAGCCATGCCACAAGATGATTTCAGAACATTGATGTTCACAGCAAACTAGAGAAGCTGTCTGCATGCGGAACCACACTTCCTTGGAAGAAGCCAATGACCGTAGGAACTCTCGATGACTCACAAATTTAGGATGATTCACGGGAAACCTCAAACCTTGTGGGCGTGTCAATCTGAGAGAGGACCGTGAGGCCTGAGACGAGAATCATGAGCATCACAATGCCCTGAAGACAAGGAAGACAAAGAAACAGAGTGCATAGGAAGACAACTGGTCAGATACCGTAACATTTTATGATTGCCGAACAACATTCAGACCCACAAGAACAGGTGGACTGACATGGAAAAATAAGGAGATGGAGAAGAGAGACAAACTCTCAGCAAATGCTCTCAAAGAGAGCGGTACGGGTCTTGTGCGTACGTTCGAGTCGACTCAAGATGCCCTAAAATAGTCATCACACTCACCGCAAAGATGCCATCAAGGAGAGCAGTACGGGTCTTGCACGTTTGAGTTGACTCATGAGTGACTGCTGAATTGACTAAAAAAGGCATCAAACTCACCGCAAAGATGCCCTCAAGGAGAGCGGTACGGGTCTTGCACGTCGGCCCACACTTCTGCTTCTTCTTCTCTGCAGCCACCGCCTCCCCAGCCACACCCTGCCCCTCCACGCCCTCTGCACCGGCACCAACCGCATCAAAACCAGCACCACCGCCTGCAGCAGCAGCATCAGCAGCACCAGCGCCGGCGGCAGGATAGTCGTCAGCAGCAGCAAGAAGGCGCCTCTGCGCTCCCACATCGGCGTCGGGGAGTGCGGTGTAGAATAGAGCATAGTTGGGGGTGATTGTGCTTACGAGGGTTGCGAGAGTGGAGAGCTCAGCAGCTGGGAGACGGGATCAGAGATGGGAGACAAAAACAGTAGGCAGTGTGAGGGAGTGCGATGTAGAAGAGAGGGTAATTGGGGGTGATTGCGCTGATTAGGGATGCCAGCATTGATAGCTCAGCAGCTGTGAGAGGAGATCAGAGGACGGAGACGAAAACAGTAGGCAGTGTGAGGGAGTGCGGTGTCGAACAGAGCGTGGTTGGGGGTGATGGCCTTGACTGGAACGTCATACTGGAAGAATAGACTAGAGGGGAGCCAAACAGGACTGCAGATCGAGGAAGTGCAGTGGGAGGAAGTGTGGTGCGAGGGAGTGCGGGAGTGTGGTGCAGAAGTGAGCATGGTCAGGGGCGACGACCTGGATGACGGAGGCCAGAGAGGAGAGATCAATAGCTGTGGGACGATGGACTCAGAGGGCTAACAAGAAGACTTAAAGCAAATGGACACCTCTCTGAGGGAGTGGAGTGCGGTGTGAGGGAGTGTCAGGTGAGGGAATGAGGTGTAAGGGAGTGCGATGTGAGGCAGTGCGGTGAAAGAAGTTTATCTCACTTTCTGCTGCAACAGCATCGTCGTGTGAGTCGGTGCTAGCAGCGGCATCCGAGCAGTAGAGCACCATGTCAAGCTCCCTGGCTGCCCTCGCGCTGGCACGATCTTCCAGAAGGTCCTGAACAGAGGGAAGAATACAAGGAGACACGCATGAGGGGAAGAAATAGCACACATTAGCTGAAAATAGCGCAGAACTGCAGAGCCCGCAGGGACATCCGAGCAGTAGATCACCACGTCAAGCTCCCTGGCTGCCCTCGCGCTGGCACAGTTGCTCAGAAGGTCCTGCACAAGAGGAAAATCGCAAATAGACATGCATGACGGGAAGGATAAGGCACACATAAGCTGAAAACAGCGCAGAACTGCAGTGCCCACAGGGCCATCCGAGCAGTAGAGCACCATGTCAAGCTCCCTAGCTGCCCTCGCGCTGGCACGGTTGTTCAGCAGGTCCTGCACGAGGGGAGAATACAAGAAGACACGCATGAGGGGAAGAGATGGCACAAATCAGCTGAACATTGCGCAGAATTGCAGTGCCCACAGGGGCCACCTGAGAAATAGAGAACCATGCCCCGCTCCCTTGCTGCCCTCGCGCTGGCACAATTTGTTCAGCAGGTCCTGCCCAAGGGAAAAAAAGGCCGCAAGGAGAAGGAAGGAGGCGAGCAGAGCGTCAAGAGCATGTGCTGTGAAATGCGTTGCCCCATATGCACGCACGTACCTTGAGCGAATCTTCACTGCTGAAGCGGTGGATCCCCGCGCGGGAAACGGGCCCACCCACACGAGGCGCTGACAGCGGCATGCCCCGCATAGGCTAGCGAGGAGAAGGACGCGAGCAGGGAGTCCAAAGCGTGGGTAGTCGAGGTGGTCTACAGACAGCGTAACATTCCCCACTTCAAACAACCACGTACCTTGAGCGAATCTTCACTGCTGAAGCGGTGGAGCCCCGCGCGGGAAACGGGCCCACACGAGGCGCTGACAGCGGCATGCCCCGCATAGGCTAGCGAGGAGAAGGACGCGAGCAGGGAGTCCAAAGCGTGGGTAGTCGAGGTGGTCTACAGACAGCGTAACATTCCCCACTTCAAACAACCACGCACCTTGAGCGAGTCTTCACCGCTGAAGCGGTGAATCCCCGCACGGGAGACGGGCCCACATGAAGCGCTGACAGCGGCATGCCCCGCATAGGCCAGCGAGTTAAAGGCGGCGATCAGAGCGTCTAAAGCGTGAGCAGTGTCGGCGTGGGCGAGGGGCTGCACGTAGGGGAAGACCTTGGAGGACGCGGACTGGGAGATGAGAGCCTGCAAAGAGAAGGGAGTGGGAAGGGCAGGGCGAAAGAAGGGAAGGGAGAAAAGAAGGAAGGGAGAAAAAAGGGGACAGGAGAAAAGACGGGTACGGAGAAAAGGGGGAAACAGAGAAAAAAAGGGGGGGGGGGGGGGAAGCGAAGAGGGATGAGAATCAGACATGAAGAAAATAAGAGGAAAGGGATAAGACGGGAGAAAATGGAACAAAGGAGAAATGGAGATTGAGAAAAACGGGGAGGAAGGAGGAACGGGATGGAAGTAGAAAAGCAGGGGAGGAGTAAAGAAGGGAAGGAAGCAAAGAGAGGACAAACGGCGAGTAAGGAAGTGGGGAAAGCAGGGACATAGGGGACAAGTCAGCAAGTATATATATAAGAACAGGGGGTGAGTAGACGCACGAGGAAAGACCCCTTTAACGTTTCGAGAGGAGCAAGGAGGAGGGAGGGAGGAAGGGAGGGGGGGAGGGAGGGAGGGAGGGAGGGAGGGAGGGAGGGAGGGAGGGAGGGAGGGAGGGAGGGAGGGAGGGAGGGAGGGAGGGAGGGAGGGAGGGAGGGAGGGGATAGGGCGTTGAGCGAACAGAAAATGAAGAAGGGAAGTGGCTCAGAGGACGTGAAGACGAACGGAACTACGAACTCCACCTCCCCAACTTCTTAACTCGTCGAACATGTTCCCCCACGTACGCCCATTCTCACCCCTTTCCCCCTCCCCAGTTCTTCCCTCCCCACTTCCCCCCTCCCCCCTTCCCCCCTCCCCCTTTCCCCCCTTTCCCCCCCCTTCCCCCCTCGGCGCTATGAGTGTACCTTTAGAGGCTCGACCGATCCAGTAGGAGACGACAGGTCGGTGGTTCGAATCTGCAGAACAGCAGAAGCAGAAGCAAAACACGATCAGCTCCCAAAGGTGCTATGGAAAGAAAGAGAAAACGGACGGCGGACAACGCGACGTGAACGTGGTGCAGGGCAAGAAAGAGAAAAGGGACGTGACACTTATAAAGGTAGTGAAAGATACAGACAAGGCGAGGACGGACTAACCTCGCCAAGGAACACGAGGACCACGCCAGGCCTCTCCTCAGCGAAGGATGAGAAGATCGAGTCCTGTGATCGACAGGAGGAGGGGAGAAGAGGTACACGAGAGCGAACGAGTGTTCTAGCGAATGACACGAAACAGGAAGTCCATGCGTGCAGGACACGTGTCAACATTCCGAAGCAAATTTGACGGATGCGAATCAAGTTACCCTATAAGTGAAGCTCAGTGAACTCAGATGACAGTCGATGACTTGGGAGCAATTAGGAAACGTGGAAACGAGGATTCAGGAAAAGGCCGTTTCTGAGTCAAATACGCCAGTGATAGGGAGACTGAAAACAGGCGTTGACGGCATGATACGAGACACTAGAGATTTTTGGACGACAGAAGTGAAGCTCGCCTATGGCATTGGTCAACAATCCGCGGATCAGGATTACCGGACCAGCAAAATGGGTTGGATTGGACCAGGACGCAAGATCGTGAAATGGGTGTTCTTACATCGCGAGAAGGGTCGAACAGGAGGGAAGGAAGATCCGATCCTTGAACTGACTCGTAGCTGACAGCATCAGTCGGATCTGACAACCTGCGGAACCCTAGAAGTTAGTCCGGTGAACTGCGACGGCGACCCGATCAGTAATGCTTCAACAACATGTTTTTGACAGAAAAGAATAAGCTTAGATAATGTTAAGCGAAATACCTGACGGTAGAACTGAAAATGGCAGGCACAGCAGCGAGGCTAGGAGGAACCAAGCACACCAGAATGGTGGCAACAGCGAGTAGTCCGTGCAGAGCCTTAGATCCGGCCATCGTTTCCTGACTATATCCCCTTACAGAGCCAAAAAGCGCTTAAAAGCGACAACAAGCGATATTGATGCTAATCTCGGACAGAAATGCCTACTAGCCTGGCAGAATCTCAAAGTTATGGCTCCTCTTATAGCAGAATCCCTAGGTATTGGGTGTTCAATATTTCCTGCAGGAGCGTTGGCCTTGCTTGCATGCGTTTTTGTTCGGTTTTCTGCGTTCCAGAGCGGTAAATAGTGGGAAACCTGCCCATTTGTAAGGTACCCAACTGAACCGCGTTTGAAGAACACAAGACCAATGCTGCTTGTCGTAGCTTGAAGGTCAGCTGGATGGTTTCAGGCGGCATCGCAGCAGGGGCACACCCCCTTGCGGTTAACGAACAGCTCTGCCAGAGTAACAATTATTCGCAAAAGCCCTGGGCGTACTGCGGTCGCGTTGGGGCTGAGAGGCTGGGCACGTACTCCTGGCGAACTTCATTTTTCGTCCGCATGTGTTACGAGCTTCGCAAAACTCAGCATCTCGCATCTCGCTTCATCGGGAATGCCTGGGGCATCAGACCAATCAGTGACCAATCAGTGACCGGCAACACCAAGCTGCAACCATCTCGAATAGCGGGGAAAGGAGGAACATGGTTGCATTGAAGGCAAGGGAGGGTGGATGCCGAACACACTTCAACGTTTATTACCCTTTGGAACCGTTGTGGTACATAGACGTAACGTTTTGAACCGTACAAAATCTTTTCGATATCTCTTGTTCAAATCACGCTGTCCAACCAAACACGCCACGGTACCAAACCAGTGAAGGCCGAGCGACCAGCAAGGCAGGAACGTCTGGGTTTTACCATTGCTGATCCATAAATCCATGGCTCCTCAGGTTCACCGTTTTCCAACCTCCACATATAGGCGTGTAGCCTCTTCCCTGTCAACTCCACTTCCCTCGTCTCTACCAGTGATCCAGAGCTTGTCTAGTAGTTCTGTATTCCGTGCGGCTGCGGTCAGATCGTTCGCCAGATCGTCGTCGCGAACGACCATCCGTTTGCCGAGCGAGCCTACAGCGAAGAGCTTGGCGTTCGCGAAAAGCCCAAGCCGGTTACCAGGATTTTCGTTTCCTTCGCAGCCTACGTTTTTTTCGCCAGCGTCCTCGTGCGTTTCTTTGTCCAGCTCGCGATCTTCGCCACGACTGTCCCTCCTCGCGAGATTTACATCAATTTCGTCGTCATCGTTCACATTAACCTCCCGGTCTTCGCCAATCATGGCTGCAGCTCCGTGCGTGCAAGCGTTAGAGCAACGCCTTCCTACTTCGCCCGTTAGCCTTCCTTTCTCGTCGCTTCACCGTCACGCCGACGGACGGCCGAGAAACCGCGTCAGAGTCAAGCTCAACGATGAGGCCGTGTTTTTTCAGCCGCTGACAGCTAGCCGTCAAGTTTACACCGGCGTGACCGTCAACGCAGCCGGAGGAAACGGAGCGACAATTCCGACGAGCGATTTACCGCCTGAGGAGAAGCAAAAAGACGCTGTCAGAGACAGTGGGGATGGTTCAGGGACAGTCGGGGGTTCCACGGGAGCTTCCGAGGAGAAAAAGAGGGAGGAGGTGTTGACGTTGCCGACTATTCTAACGATCGCTCGCGTCGTAGCAGTTCCCGCCATTATTCCCGGTACGCGCAGTGGTTCCCAATCCAGGGATCCCTAATGATAGGGCTACGTCCGTCTGCTAACGTTGCTGACTGTCGTTCCTTCCTTCCTTTGGCCCTTGCTCTCATCGTCCCTTGCTCCCGTTCCTCCTTCCTCCTATTGTTCCTTGTTCCCATGGTCCCTTCCTGCTGTTACCCTTTCCTCCCACTGTTTCTTCTTCCCATTGTTCCTTCCTCCCAATGCTTTTTCCTCCCATGTCCCTTCCTCACCGTGTGCGTTCCTTCCTCCCATTGTTGCTTCCTCTCACCTCCCGTGCTCCCTTGGTCCCTCGCTCTTGTTCTTCCGTCCCTTCCAGCGTTCTTCTTCCCCCCGGAAATTGCCACCGCCATTTTCATCATGGCATCAATCGCTGACTGCCTCCCGTTGTTCCTTCCGTGCTCCCTTTGTTCCTCGCTCTTGTTCTTCCCACCCTTTCAGCGTTCTTCTTCGCCCCGGGAATCGCCACCGCCATTTTCATCATGGCCTCGATCACTGATTGGCTGGACGGATACCTGGCTCGTAAAGTGCGTTACATGGGTACCGCTTTGCTTGTATTCGCTGCTCGCTTTGCTGCATTTAGAGTGGTCTATCCCTTCGTCACCTTGTTTCCTCTTCCTCTCACCCTCCCCCTCCCTCCCCCCTCCCCAACCCCACCCCCCCCCCACCTTTCCCTTGCCCGTACCCTGTATTTTCATCCTCCCGCACCCCCACCCTCACGCTTTCACTCTCTTACGCCGCTTTTCGCTCCTCCTCACACATCAGCACATGCTCTTCCTGTTTCCAATTCACACGTACACTCGTACTCTTGCTCTCTCTGATGCACACATGCTCTCATACTCATGCTGTCGCTGATTCGCACATCCTCATACTCCTGCTGCCTCCCATGCACACATGCCCGCAACCTCCCCTTCCCTCCCTCCCCTCCTCCCCGCACCCTTCCGTCCCTGGGGAATTGATGTTGCTGATGAATTGTAGCTCCGCGTTTTCGAGCATTCTCAAAAGGAACTTTTTAGAATTCTCAAAAGCTCCCCTTCCCTCCCTCCCCTCCTCCCCGCACCGTTCCGTCCCTGGGGAATTGATGTTGCAGATGAATTGTAGCTCCTCGTTTTCGAGCATTCTCAAAAGGAATTTTTTAGAATTCTCAAAAGCTCCCCTTCCCTCCCTCCCCTCCTCCCCGCACCCTTCCGTCCCTGGGGAATTGATGTTGCAGATGAATTGCAGCTCCTCGTTTGGGGCTTTTCTGGATCCCGTTGCAGATAAGGTGAGCTTTCAGTTGTGTGCGTGCCAGTGCAGTGCACACATGCATGGCACACATGCGCGCCCATGCGCACATGTCGCAGATGAATTGCAGGTCCTCGTTTGGGGCTTTTCTGGGTCCCGTTGCAGATAAGGTGAGCTGCGAGTAATGTTCGTGCCTAGCGTACACGTGCCAGCGTACACGTGCCAGTGCAGGCATGCATGGCACACTCACAGGTGCGCGCGCACACACAGGGACGTATGTATGTATGTATGTATGTATGTATGTATGTATGTATGTATGTATGTATGTATGTATGTATGTATGTATGTATGTATGTATGTATGTATGTATGTATGTATGTATGTATGTATGTATGTATGTATGTATGTATGTATGTATGTATGTATGTATGTATGTATGTATGTATGTATGTATGTATGTATGTATGTATGTATGTATGTATGTATGTATGTATGTATGTATGTATGTATGTATGTATGCACACACTCGTTTCAGATGGCTTGCAGCTCCACGTTCGAGGATTTCTTCGACCTCGTTGCGATTAGGAGGAGCTGTGAATAATTGTTGAATGCATTGTATGCACTCCATGTATGCATTGAGTGCTGAACGATTATCAGTACAAATTACACACCCACTCACCCTCCACCTCTTCAACACAAATGCCTTCCCTCTCCCTGTGCTATCTCATGAGCTTTCCGTATTTTCCTTAACCTTTCTCCTCCGTGCGTTGATATACTCTCTGGTTGCGTTGCTTCAGTCAACAATCATTCGTTCTTGTCTCCCATGTTTCTCCCAACCACCCCTCTCTCTCCGCTCCATCCTCCCTGTCTCCACGTTTCTCCCTCTCCCCGACCCCTTCCCTTCTCCCATTAACAGCTAATGGTGGCAGCAGTGCTCGTCCTTCTCTGCTCCGAACCTCCACCAGTGATCCCCTTCCTGCCATGGGCCCTCCCATCGTGGACCGTCCCCCTCCCCGCAATCGCCATGATTGGCCGAGAGATTGCCATGTCAGCAGTCCGGGAATGGGCGGCAGGGGAGGGAGAGAAGCTGAGGAAGGCTACTGCGGTTAGCGGATACGGAAAATGGAAAACGGCCACGCAAATGGTTGCAATCACGGTGTTGCTCGCCATCAGGTCTCCCGTGTGAGTATGCCGCATTCCCCTTCACAAAACACCCTGGGAAAATCAGCACCCCTGGAAAGCTACTGCAGTTGGACAGGGTAAGCGGAAACGGCCACTCAAATGGTTGCAATCACGGTGTTGCTCGCCATCAGGTCTCCCATGTGAGTATGCCGCATGGCTTACTCTTTTCTCTCATGCGTCTTGCTTCATAGCTAGCATTCAATCTTTTTTTATGAATGCTTACCTGCTGTCAGAACCAGCTAGTTCTGCTTTTTTGTTTTTCGGTAGTCAGCTCATTTGTCTTCCTACCGTATGTTACAGGTTACAACTACCAGAAATTGGACCGCTAATTGGTACATCAGGAGTGGTGCTTTTGTACACGTCTGCAGTTCTCGCCGTTGCCTCTTTTGCCATCTACATTCGATCAATTGCGGAAGCGCTTCGCAAGTTGTAACTTCTGTAACCTAACCTATCTACTGGTATATATGTAGGGATGGCTTAGCAATTTTTTGCTTTGTTGTGTTTTGAAGTCCAGAGGTTTTAGCGAATTTAGGAACCGTAAGTGCAGAAAGCACTATTTTGTTGCAACAGACTGAAGCAGTGCTATGCTATCACGTCTGAAATTGTGGGCCACGCAAACTGTGTAAGTGCTCGCAGAACGACACTTGAAATTGCGCGCCGCTCGGCCAGGAGGGGGAGGCTCTCACCTTTAACCAGGTACAGAACACCGACAGGGGAAGCAGCCATCAAAGGTTCACACAGCAGCTGGTTATGGAACCAACCAAAACGGAGTACGCCGACTTACTCTTCCTCAGCTATGCTGACGATACGTATATCCTGGGGCCTAGGGAACGGGTTCTAGCAGCCTATGAGGCCTTGCGGGAACGACTGGACGGGCTGGGTTTGGAGGTGCAGCCGCATAAGTGTAAGCTATGGGAGCGAGGGAGGGACCAGGATGGGGAGGAGAGAAATGAGACTGTCCCGCCCGGCATGCAGCAGACATGGACGGGGCTCACTGTGGTAGGGGTGCCCATTGGGGAGGAGGACTGGGAGGTGGCTAGCCTGCGTCGCCGGCTGACGGAGCTGCATGCACCTGTCCCCTGGCTTCCTCTGCTTGACCACCCACAGATTGCGTCCCATTTGTTGGCGATCGCAGTGTCGGCGCGCCCGATCTACCTCACACGGACGATGCCTCCACGACCTGAGGTTGTGGAGGCTTTTCGGGACTGGGACACGAAGCTGGAAGATTGTTTCGAGGAGCTGTTTCCAGATAGTACCTGGGATCACGATTCGGGGAAGTCCCAGATGGCTCGTTTACAGCTGCACCTTCCTGCCAGACTCGGGGGGTTCGGCATTCGATCTGCGGCTGACCTTAGTCCTCTGTCGTATGCATGTGGCTGGTGCCAAGCAGTGAGCGATGTGGCTCGGTTGGGGGTGGCAGGTGAGGAGCGGATGTTTGAGGAGTTTTTCCGCACGCCCGAGGCTACGACCTTGTTGGACCCCTGGTTTGCGAGAGCAGTGGATCTGCTTCCACAGTCGGTTCGGCAGGAGATGCCACCCCTTGCCTTGTGCACCGCTGATCCGCCTATGCTGCTCTTCCCCACACAACACCGTCGCCTGGCGGTTGAGAGCCTCCAATCTCTTCGAGGCATGGCCCACAACGATGCCACCCTGGCCCGTTTGACATCCCTTCAGGGCCCGGGGGCTGGGGCGTGGGTTTCTGCCGTTCCTTCGCACGAGGAGGCTACCTTCACCGCAGCCGAGTGGAGCATCTGCGCGTCCATGCGCCTAGGCCTCCCTATTCAGCAGCTGATAGTGGCCGGCAAGTGCGCGTGTGGGTTTGAGTTTGCTGATCCCTCTGACCCGCATCATGCCCTTCGCTGCAAGTATCAGTATGCACCTTCTCGGGTTCACGATGCGGTTAAATTTGTGGTGGCGAAGATAGCTAAGGGTGCGGGTGGGATTGTGACCATGGAAGACGACACGTTGCTCCCAGGGAAGAGGGTTGATGTGGCGGTTCGGAAACTGAGGGAGGGGGAGGAGCACGCGCTGGAGGTTAGTGTGGTAGATCCTATCTCGCTATCCGCGCAGCACCATGGACAGATTGGTCGCAAGGTGGGTTTTGCCGCGAGAGAGAGAGAAAAGCGGAAGACGGCGGACTACAAATCGCTTCTACAGCGGCATGGGGGAGTGCAGTTCACACCACTCATTGCTGAGACATGGGGATGCTTGGGGGGGAGTTTTGGACGGTGGCTTAAGAAGCAGGGTGACGCGCAGATCGAGATAGCAAAGACGAAAGGGGCGGCGCGAGCTACGGGAAAGGGTTTCTCGGCTTATTTGCTCGGATCGCTCAAAGCGGCTGTGGGTGTGGCTTTGCAACGGGCTCAGGCGCGTGTGATCTTGTTACGCGCTGCGTCGATGATGAGAGGCCCAGAGGCTGTTTGGGTGGAGCGGGAGGATGTTGAGGAGGAGATGGGATGGGATGCTCCGTGGGCGGATGCACCATACTTGGTAGACATGCGGGTTTAGGGAGTGGGTTTAGGGGGGGAGGTTTGGTTCGATGGGAGTGCAGTTGGGGTGCTTTGATGGGAGGGCTTGATGGTGTTTTAAATGTGTGTGCTATTGGGGTTTTCTTGGGGTTGTGTGTGCTACTTTTTCTTCCTTCTTCCCTGTTTTTCTTCCTCCTATCATTTTTCCCCTATTCCCCTCCTTCTTTCTTCCTCTCTCCTTTTTTCTACTCACGTTATTCCTCCTTTTCTCCTCTCTTCCCGTTTCCACTCCTTTTCCTTGCGTAATTATGCTACATTGTAACAGATAATACAGGTTATAGGAAAATCATTTGAATTGAAAAAAAAAAGGTTTCATCCTACACGTACAGTACTTCAGCCCGCCCATCACACTCCCATACTCACGAAATTCACATTATGGATTTTGATGACCTTCAGGCAGCCTCGCTAGAGGTTTTCGTTTTGTGCATTGTGAAAATTCTACCCACAGCCTGTCTTTACAGATACAGATTTCATGTTTTAGAACTGTACTAGATCCACAATTCTCCATTCCGCTAGGAGAGCTGCCCTCCAGCTAAAATTTCCCCTCAGATTTCATCGTGTTTCCTGGATCCACAATTCTTCGTTTCGCTAGGATCCCTCATTCTGCTCCCCAGCTAAAGTTTTACTACCTCAGATTCCTTCGCAAAGGCATCAGCTCACACCATCACAGGTGTGCTGGCACCAGTGCTGCCAAATTGCAATCAGCCTCTTGGAAAAATCATTGTAAGATTGCGCCATATGCGTGACGCGTTTGTCGTCTGCAACATGGTGTTTCCTGCTGCCCCAAAGCTGTGTGTTCGAGTGTTTTCTAGTACCTGCTATCCCAATACTCTCTGCAGCAAACCAATATTGCACATACAGCTCCAAATAATGCCCAGAAAGGCTGCGGATGTTTGTGTTTGACAATACTCTCCCAAAGGTTTTTACCCTTCGTGAAGTGCTTGTGGGACCCAAGCCAACCCACCTCCCTCCCCATCCACACATTCAGCAAGGTCTCTGTGTACACGTCCACCACAGTTCCAAATTGGAAAACGCGTGCAACAGAGCGAGTTGTGCAAGCTCACGTGGGACGCACTGATACGCTGCTCCTAAAGAAACTTCATCTCGAGTTTCGGACGGAGTTTCGCTGGAAGCACGTGGTCGCGCTACACTCGACTGTGGTGGAAGGCCTATGTTTATGAACGTGAAGGGCAGTTGTGTGGAAGTTCTAGCTGATGGATTGGGAGAAGTGTAGAATTATAAAAGACCAATACTTATCTGAAATGGTGCAAATTACTTCAAAAACTGGGTCGGTGGCGTAAAAGAACGTTTGACCGATGCTGACGCAGCATCATTGCGCACCTAGCACTCTGAACTGAGGCTGCACTGTACCAAGTTTATCGCGGTGCGGAACTTGTGGGTGCTTTGAGGGTTGCGAACTTGCGATGAGGGATAGGGTAGGGGCAATTTCACGCTCGGGCAGTTTCATGCTCGGCAGGTTTGTACAGGTGTGTCGTGTTTTGGGGAGGGGGGGGAATAGGTTTGGGGAGGGGGGTGTGGGAATAGTCGGTGAGTTGTGTCAGGGAGGGACTGTGGGTGGGCGGAGGAGTCGAGTCAGGTGCAGGACTCTGGGGGCAGAGGGGAGGGACTCTGGGTGGGCGGAGAAGTCGAGTCAGGAGGAAGGACTCTGAGTCAGCTCTGGGAGTGGGGTGAAGTGGTGGTGGTGGCGAGGCGAGTGAGGAAGAGGATGCGTCTGTTTGCATTGCAATGCGGTTATTGTTGTCTCTATTGTTGTCTCGTACGCTTCAACTCAACCCGCCACCTCATCATTCCACTTGCCTCGCTGATTGGCATGACTTGACGCGATGTGGCGATGCGGCTTTCACCTCAAGCTTCCTCGCCCGAGACATTTGCTGCCAAAAACTGCCACTTACACCTCAACTGCCCTAGCTGCTGCTACCCCCACTCATTACACACTGATTGTTGAAAGAAACAACACTTCCAAGCCGATTGTTGCAAATAAACAACAGACACAACTGGTGTTTACCATCAAGTCATCGACAGTTGCGACTGTAAATGCACGGTGTGGGTCCTTCCCCTCCTCGCCTCTGGTTCACATACAGTATCCGTTCCACCGTTTTCGAGCTGGCCTAGATATTCTCGTTCTCCACATTTTGTAGAGAAATACGAGTGACTGTCCTTGCAAAATACGCTCCGTCGTCCTCCCTATTGCTTGATAACCCGTCCACCATTCTTACTCTTGGTGTGTTCTCCATCAACTGAGTATTTTAGTTCCTCACTAGGGCCTTCAGTCCACTCTGTTCAGCTCAAAAAAAACCAGCCTTTCTCTACCGTCCAATCTGTTCTTATCATTCGTTCCTCCTCGAATGGATCGCGCAACTGCTTGCATGGCGTACGATAGTCTCCCTTTCCCTGCTAAGTTTTTCGGCGCCAATGCCGCCGTTCCCGACGCAGCGCGCGTCTTCTCCGCGAGTTACGACGTCGCGGAGCTGCGCAGCCATAGGGAGGCTTCCGCCCGTCCGGAAAGTTGCGCCCGCGCGGAAAGTTCCGCGTACGAAGATCGCGCGGTGTGGAACGTTGCGGAGTCTGATTTGGAGGTTGTCTGCTCCATGGATCGCTCGATGTCGCACATGCGACGACTCGCTCGCGACGGTTACGTGGGCGACTGGGACGACGACGAGATGACGGCGAGCGACGAGGTCGACGATGAGAGCGTGTGCGACACCGCATGCAGCCGCCCTTGCCCAGGAAACGCGGAAGAACGCAGCTGGGATAGCCACGACCGAATCCATCTGGCAGCGAAAAGCAATCCTGCATCTGAGATGCTGAGAGCTGAGGCTATCCGGATTTTGTCTCGCGCACAATCGCAAGGAATCCTGCCCGCGAATCTTTCTCCGGAAGCGCAATCGGCGCTTATCTCGATGCTATTAAAGCCCATGAGCGGTTCTGTCGTGCCGCATGCTGCTTCCCTTTCTCGGACCGTCAGTGGCGTCAGCTCGTACGCGACAGCCCCTTCGCAGGCCACCGCGGCTGAAACCGCAACGGCATGCACCGCATCGCCTCCTGTCGTCGCCGGTGTAGTCAAGTCGTTGCGATTTCTCGGCGAGTCTGGCAACAATTGCGGAGAAGAGACGGACCCATATCATGGACTTGGCCCTGCTCTTGACGCCGAAATCGAGGCCATGGCTTCTGAGGATTTGGAGATTCTGGACATGGATATTATTATGGAGTTAGACGATGTTACTGCCACTGTTGGATGTCGCGAAGATGACTTCTAAATGTCGAGTTTGACTATAATTAGGGGATTGAGGCACGCATTCGGCCTCCGGCTACATCTCACCTCATGATTTATGGCTTTCCAGTCTTTCCCACTGCTGTGTTAGGGGCGACGTCAGGTTGTACAACATTTTGTACACTCTTTGCGGTCAACTTCGTTTCGTCACGGTGTAAAACGGTAAACTTTGAAAACAGATTTCCACCTTGTAGAACCTTCCTGAGCCACGATACAAGAACTCTGAGCTTGTGAGAATCGTACAATCTGACGTCGCCATAATTTCCCACACCAGAATATGAAACAATTTTGGAAACTCTTTCCTCTTGCTTTCGGGGAATGTAATACCATGCCTGGGAGCAAGAACGTGGGCGATTTTCAACGAAAGAATGGTGACCATTGTAGGAGTTACGGCGTGTTGCAATTCGCGGTGACACGGGGCTAGGAAGGCTCCAGGAAATCAAGGGGCCGTAATTTTTTTGCACTTAACGTATAAAAGCTTTATAATCATTCATGTAAAGACTTTATAACCTTGGCAAATAACTCCGGTATTCATTCTTTAATAATTTTTTCTTTGCCGAATCCTTGCCCGAATTTGGCCCCCGCTTGCTTGGAGCCTTCCTTTCGTCCCGTGCCGATGCAGTGCATCTCAAATTGCAACACACCGTTAGGACGTGTGTGAAACTAATTGCAGTTCGAAAATGGGTTCGAACTTAGGGTGGTAACCAATTTCGCGAATGTTCGCAAATGGTTTCGCCAAAAGGGTGTTTCACTACCCCTCCCACCTAACTCGAGCCCCGAAAAGTGAACGTGACTCGAGTGTATGAGCAAACGTGATTTTGCACGTAGTAGTGAACGTGTGTGGTTCCAGGCACGTACGAGGAGTGCGCGACACTCGCATCACATTCGTGCACCAATAGAGGCACGACCAAAACCTCAAACATTCCCCCACAAGCAAAGCTCGACACGTGGATGTTGGCGTGGCACGATGACGTGCCGCGTCTGCGTTTGATCTGACGATGGCGCTCTGGCTGCAAAAGTCGCGTCAACCATGTTCCTCCTACAATTACATGCCGAAATGTCACCACTCACAACTACAAGAGATGAGCAACATTCCTCTAACCCCACCACACTTGTTTACTCACGATGTCAACTTCCCGAGGTGAAGCCCAGGGAAACACCAATACTACCGCTGCCCCCTTCTCAGTCACCACCACACCGCGCCGTCAGCGCAGGGCGGCACTAGATAATACTACTTCACGCCGCCTAGACGTTATTGATCTCGACCAGGTCATCGCGCGAGTTCTGTCTCACAACACCCCGCTATACGGCGATGACGACACTCTGGCGTACTTTGACGCCGGTGAAGTAGACTGCAACTAAGACGACACTGCAGACGAAGACACCGACCCCGCCATGGCGCCCACCGGGGCGCGCTGGGAGCCGCACGAGGTGATACAACTAGCGTGGATACGCCACGACAATGACGAGCAGTGGCGTAGTCAGAACCGCTTGCAAGGCCAGAGCCGAGATGCGATGCTTTTTGAGAAGCTCAAGGCACGCCACCCGGACTTCCGTCACGGCTTTGCTGCGGTGAAAGCCAAAGTGTTCCGTATGGAGGCACAATACAGGCGCGTCGGGGACCTCCTCTTAAACGACTCGGGCAAGGGTCGCCCCAAGAAGTTGCCGATTTTCTACGATATCTTCGACCGTATTCTCGGCGACCGTGCAAATGCACGTCTGCCCGCTCTTGCCGGCAGTCTACCCGGTGCAAATGTTGTGAACCTGCCGCCAGCAACCACTACCACGAGTAAGTCGTTTAGCTTTATGTTTCTTGTGGGTCGTGAAACACATGCACGTTTGTTGGCATAAAGCTTTAGCCGCATAATAAAAGTTATTACAAAGCTAGTTGCTTGACGCCGGTTTTCCGCCCACTAATGCGTCTCCCCCCTCGGCCACACCCCGGATTCCCCACCGTCCCCCCCCCTCACACGACTAAACAGATCGCACACTGCCTACTCCAAGCGTGCCCCAGCCGGGCGAGCAAGACACTGCCTCGGCTTCGCCTGCTCGTGCGAGGGCAGTGCAGCGCCGCCGCGACAGCCAGCGCACGGCATCATCGCCGAGTGGGTCGCCCGCAAACATGCCGCTTCCGCCAGCTTCGCCGACGGTGGATGACGAGCCCACCGATGCCGCCGTGACGGCGAACCCCGTCCGCTCACACGTCCTCGGTGCGCGCGCGGGAGCTTCGCTCCGCGGGCGTGGCGTCAACCGTCGGCCTGGGTCTGCGACTGGTGATGAAGTTGACACGGGGGGGACGCGGGAGAAATAGCATTAGGCAGTCTTATAAGTTCAAGTGATGCCACTCTGTGCAAGGAGATTGCGGGTATAATAGCACCCTCTGTGAAAGGTGCCATGCAGGAGCAGTTTGATGTATTCATGCAGCGTACCCAAGAGTTGGTTGAGCAAGCTCGGGATGACCGAGCCTCCAGGAGGCGTAGAGACACGCCGCCATCCGAGCGCGACGACGAGTCGGCGTAAAGCCCTCGTCACGAGGCGAGAAGTGCGGCATCTCCGCCGCGGGGCCGTGCTGCCACCAAGTATTTCGCTCTCGCGGAGGGAGGAGCCTAGGACGAGGGCCGAGAAGGAGGTCGATGTTGTGCAGGACGATGCAGGCGGAGACGTACTGGGGGGCACGGAAAATGTCGCATTCCAATCGCCCGTCCAAGATCCGCCACCGCAACTTCAGCCGACCATTGACCTGCTCCACGACCATCCTGGCGCGGGACTGCTGCAGGTTCCACACGCGCTGCTCGTCCGGCAGGCCGCGACCGAGCAATGCCCTGTAAGGCGTGTGGATGTAGTCGCGCAGTCCGTAGGCCGCATCCGAGACTATGGCGTAGTCGTAGATCCCCCCTAGTTCGATCTTGTGTCGCGCCGGGCTGTGCTGGAAGACCCGAGCGTCGTTGACGCTCCCAGGCCAGCCGACGTAGAAATCGTAGATGTAGCCTGCGCAGTCACAGATGAGTTGTGCAATAATACTAAAAAAGTCCTTTTTGTTTCTGAAGTCCTCGCAATGTGGTCCTTGTCCCTGGCAATGAATGTAAGTGCCGTCCATGGCACCCACCACTCCCGGAATGCCCGCCTCGTGACGAAACTCACGCTCGAACACTTGACACATTTCGAGGTCGGGCCAAATGACCCACTTCTCCAGTAGGACCTTATTCACAAAGTGAAGAAATTCGTTGAAGAGTTGACGGGCATGGGAGTATGAATACCCAAAGTGCAGCCCGATCTAGCGAAAAGAAAGGCCGTGCCCAAGTCGGCTCAGACCCATGGCAATAAACACGAAGTTGAACACGGGCGGCTTGCGGTGGGAAGGGTGGCTTCGCTGGTACTGACAGACGAGGTAGATAAACACTCGGCGATCCACGCGCATGTACTTGTAAAAATTACCCTCGGGCAGCAGGGTAATCAGCTTGAACCATCTGAGTCGGGCATCTTGACGATCGCCACGGACAAACACACGAGTCTGACGCAGAGTGAAGGCAGCGACCAGGGCTGGGATTGCTGCGCCGATCGCGGTGAGTGCAGGGAGTTGAAAACATTGGTGGAACCCTTGAAGGAGAATTCCAAGAAAGCGCACCAGCAGAATGAGAGACATGGTGGAATGCTGAGTTGGCGAAATGCATGACACTCGAACATTTGTAGATGGTGGTCTGCTCGGGGACAGGTAGGGAGATGAGGTGGAACTCTAGATTGAACTTTTGAGGCACGCGATTTGTTGACGTGTGTCAAAATCGGAAGTGTTGGTTCATTGATGGTGGTTGGGGTACAAGTAGCAAACCCTAACATACGTACCCCCTAAGACAAACCTCACTACAGGCTACCAACATTTGACACACCCCCATAGCCTAAGTGAGGGGTGTCTAGCAAAACCAAAAGAGTACGGTCATAAGACCAGTCACAAAGAAACAAAGCTCAGGGTGGATCACAACGTCACCACACACTCTGAGCACAAGCAACAATGGCCACAAGGCCAGTCCAAGAAATAACAGAGTTATATAGAAAGGGTACAAGCAAAACAAACAGTGAACCAGTGTCAACAAGGCCTAACTGCACACAACACCTGTGGTGGTCACAAGGCGGAAGCGCCTTGGTGAAGATGTCTGCAGTGTTGGCCTCAGACTCCACAAACTCGAAGCGAGCCTGCCCACGTCTCTCTGTGCTGCTACGTGCAGTAACACCCGAAGAGTGGTCATCTTCGGGGTCGGCGCGAAGGTCTGAAAGAAGTCAACTCCCTCGCGCTGACTGAAACCTCTAGCAACGTAGCGCGCCTTGAAGACTGGAGGAGATCCTGGTGGCCGCTTCACCCTGTAGATCCACATGCCATCGACTACGTTCGTCCCAGGGGGAGGAACCTCATCGATGTAGGTGCCTGTGGATCTGTAGGAGGCCATCTCTGCGTCCATGGCAGCTCTCCACTGAGAGGCCCAAGGCCCTGACACTGCCTCAGCGTAAGTGCGAGGAGTCGGAATGTCAAGGGCGTCGGGGTCACCCTCAGGGGTGAGGAGCATGGCACAGAGATGAGGGGAAGCGGCCGCCAGGAACTCTAGCTCAAACTGCCTGTCCTCTAGGACGTCACAGCCAAGGGCAGACACACCCCCGACGGCCAGAGGACTGGTAGGAGGAGCAGCCACAAGAGTGGTGGCGTAGTCAAGGCGGCGAGTAGAGGCAAACTCAGTGACCGTGGCAGTAAGAGCGGAGACGGAGGACAAAGAGGCACGAGGGTGGGTAACAAGAGAGGCGAGAACACGAGAGAGAACAGGACGGTACGTGCGGTAGTAGTCAGTGATAGGGGTAGAGAGAGAAGCTGTGAGGGCCGACTCAGGAGGAGAAGGAAGCACAGGAGGAGCCGAACGAGACGGACTAGAACGTAACAAGACAGTACGAAGGTCTGTGAAAGGAACAGGGGACGAGGGACGAGCACGAGGAGAGCGACGAGTA